AGGGTTATGGATTCGTTCAAGTTTTCTAAGAAATTAGTATGCTGTGGTGCGGTCATATTCGGAGGAAGGTATACTGTGCACACTATTACACTAAATTTACCTAATTTTATCAGACACCAAATCCATTCATAGTCGTGATGTTCGAGATGAAAGAGTCGTTTAACCGGAATATTACTGCGAACGTACATAGCCACCCCTCCCCCATTTCTATTCCTATGTTTAGTTAATGGGTCATGAAAGTTGTCAAGGGTGTAAAGAGAAGGGTGTACTGTGTCGTCAAGCTTTGTCTCAGAAATCCCAGACAGACTGACGCTCTATTAACTGCAGCCAAAGCAGCCATTCCAAGTCGGAAAATTACAATAAAATCTCACGACAAACCATGGCTTACCATTGAACTTAAACGAGAAATACGCAAGCGGAATAGGCTTTTCAACATAGCAAAAAGACGTAACACGGACGATGACTGGGAACGATGGAGACGACAGCGAAACAAGACCACAGAGACAAACCAAAGACTTAAAAATAGACACATACAAAACCAAATTGACAAACTTCTTGACCATAAAAAGGACCCACGATCATATTACAAAATTTTAAACAGTATTATCGGAAAAAGGACTCATCGTAGCATGCCACCGCTTATAAATCAAGACGGCATACCAATCTCAGACGACTTTGACAAAGCGACAATCTTAAATGACCACTTTGCATCCCAGACTCGACTAGACACACACAACTTGCAAATGCCTGAAATCCCTATTCCTGTTCCCCCTATTCCTCCGCTAACGGATGTCCAAGTCACCGAGCCCGAAGTTCTCAAAATTCTAAATTCCTTAGACATCAACAAGGCAACAGGCCCGGACAAAATTCCTAACAAATTATTAAAAATGTGTGCACTTTTACTTGCTGAACCTCTGTCCAAACTCTTTAACAAATCACTTCAACTAGGAAGGTTCCCCTCACTTTGGAAAAAAGCCTGTGTCACTCCAATCTTCAAGCAAAAGGGATCTAGCTCAGATCCAACAAACTATCGTCCTATTAGTCTTCTTCCCAATCTCTCTAAAATTCTCGAAAAAATCGTTTTTTCCAAGATATATTCTCATTTGAATGGAAACAACTTACTTTCAGAAAAACAAAGTGGATATCGTCCGGGCCATAGCACACAAATTCAGCTCTTGTATCTAACTCACCAGCTATACTCTGCTCTAAACAAAAGCCAAAACTTTACAGCTATCTTTCTTGACATCTCGAAATATTTTGATAAAATTTGGCATGATGGACTCCTTTTAAAATGCAAAATCGAGTGCAATATTTCCGGTTCTCTGCTAGCCTGGCTTAACTCTTACCTTACAGATCGCGAACAGGTTGTTCGTGTTGGAAACAGTCTATCATCATCCCAAAAAATACTATCCGGTTGCCCCCAGGGCTCGGTGCTTGGACCTCTTCTGGCCTTAATTTACCTCAACGATCTATCAAACAAGACCAAAAATGACGCTCTCTTTTACGCTGACGACACTTCACTTTACTCTTCCCATCCCCACGACAGTCAGGATCATAGACGCTCCTTGCAGAACGACCTGGACGAGATTAAACGATATGGGACTGACTGGGCCATCACCTTCAACGCTAAAAAGACACTACAACAGACATTTACAAACCGACGAGACAGCTGTCCTCCAGCACTCACATTTGACGGGCAGGACATACCGACCGTGACAAGTCATAAACATCTCGGACTGACACTCTCGACGGACCTTCACTTTCGCGCACACATCAATAACGTCATTCGGACAATTAACATTCTCCTAGGACCGATATATCCCGTGGCTAAGCTTCTTCCTAGACCAGTCTTGAACAACATTTACTCTACCTATATAACACCTCATTTCGACTATTGTGATATTATTTACGACGGACATTTGACATCAACTGACGCCATCCGACTCCAGACGCTTCAGAACCGCTGTGCCAGACTTGTAACAGGGACGCTTTATCGAACACCAACTACCGCATTACTTACCGAACTAGGATGGGAACGACTTGAGACAAGACGATTAATTCATAAGCTTCTATTCTTTCACAGACTTTACTTCAATCATCCTCCTCTCCCTTCATACATTAAAGACATATTGACAGAAACCAGACAAGACGCCACGGGACTTAGACTTCGCAATGCTCAATCTCTTACTTTCCCCCCTACCAATCTCACTTCTTTCTATAGAGCCTTTTTTCCTTCGACAATAAGACTCTGGAATACTCTCCCAGACACATTGCGTAACACCTCATCCCGCTCCGCTTTTGCTCGTCAAGTCTGGCAGCGATTTGGGGCACCAGAGCCACCCACTTTCTTTTCTTTCGGCAACAAAACGCGTAACACACTACACACACGATTGAGAGTGGGCATGACGACTCTCAAGGCACACCTGTTCAATATACAACACCCCAACACACCCAGCCCAGTATGTGCTTGCGGTTATCACGATGAGAACACAACTCACTTCATACTCTGGTGCCCACTTTACCATACACAAAGAGTAAAACTTATAAATGCAGTTCGAATCATCACTCCAAATTTTGACAATTTCTCAGCAAAATTAAAACTTGATACCCTTCTCTTTGCAAAAGACTTAAACAAGCATCAAGGCACACAAATCACCCATCACCTTCAGACATTTATTGTAGAGACAAATCGGTTTACCAATACAACATAACTGTTTAGTTAGTGCATTTAAGTACCATTGATATTAATGCAACACACTGCTTACATAACACTACACTACATTACAAAACACAAAACATGACACTATGACGCAAGCTGGCCCGATTGGAGTCGTCCGTCGCCTGGGGCCGGGTACTGTCTGCTTTTTTGGCTCGGCGGGTTTCGGGCGGGGTCGACGCTTTCTGATGCTTTGGTTTGGTCATGTGTTCTTTGTTTAACTTAATTGGAGAGGCGCCTTTGATTTAAGCTTTTTGCTTTTGCGCCAATCCTCTATTGTTTTGTTCGTTGTTCTTGTTTACATATGGAAAAAAAATACAATGAACTGAACCTGACCGCGCTGACCTCTGATCCTTTGATTTGTCTCCTCCTCGGCTCCTCTGCCGGGCCTGAGATCGGACAAGGCGCAAGGTTGTGATGTCTTCGTCCAACATTGATAAGGCACGTGGGTTGGTACGTGTGGTAAAGGCACAGTGATGTGCACTGCTGTTACGGCATTTAGGCAAGACACAATGCTCTCAACAGGATGATAAAAAAAATGCCTTAACACGTCGCCCGTTCCATCTGATTTATTTATTATATGCTTGTTTATTTATTTATTTTTTTGTCGCCACGCCGTCCACGATGCAAGCTTGAGGGCTCTTGCCTCTCATGGCCCCGGCCACTCCCAATTGTCCAGTTTTCCGTGGTGACCCCTCTAGCGCGGCGCCGCGGGTAGCTGGTTATGGACCGGAACTCCCATCGACCTGGTAAACCGGAAGGATTAGCCCCCCCCCCCTCCTTCTCCTCCTCCTCCAGGGAACTGAGCCCTGAGGACCCCCCCCCCCCACTGACACGTTATGTAGCGGGTGCTGTGATGGACCGGTGTCGGGGGAGGGGGGGGGGGGGGCGTTACCGGTAGCTTTTATAGAGGTCGATGACCCACTCAAACATAGTGGGTCTACCCACTACTCAGTGCTCCGTGTCGTGTGAAGCTGGCAGCTTAGCATTGGGATTACCTACTTCCTGAGCTTCAGGATTTTGTTCGTTCATAATGCTCAGTGAAAACACATGAGTACGATGTTTCGATGCATCGTAACTGCTTGCAGTTGCAACTAGCCAACCATGATGAGTGATGCGTTGTTCATTGTGCTATGCATAGTGTGTTATTGTATTTTTATGCATTATGCATGGGCGATAATGCTTATACAAAATGCACGTATGCTAAATGAAAACGTGAGAACTGGATTTCGTTTATTTTTTCCTACCGCGCGAAATCCGATGAAAAGTAGGCTCAAGCCTAAGGTGACGGCCGTCGGCCAACATTCCTGACCTGACCCTGCTACTGAGCTGAAGCTAGTTTGGAAGTATTTACGTTGGAGAATGAAGACTTCAGTTCTCAGGCTCGTGGTGGTCTCTGTAGTTCGCCAGGGGTACAAAAATCAAAAATCAAAACACACCTAACGTGTGAAATGTGAAATATCACACGAGGCGTTTGGTCGAATGTCGAAAATCGTCGTCGTTGAAACGTCATCGGTTATCTTGTGGACCGACCGGTCTGGCCCGAGAGCCAACGCCATGATGTCTCAAAGGGGGCTAATATTTGACCGGTAATTTGTATTTCCAATTGTAGTCCCTGTTTCGTTCGTCAGTCATCACTTACCTCTCAGTTGACTGGCCCGCGCCCATCCCCCAGCTCCCCTGTCTAGTTTGGTTTCTGGCTGCGCCCCTGATTCGGCTATCAGCTGACAGTGAGTGGCATTGCTGATAATCGATCCGATAGACCCACCTGATCAGGGGCGCGGGAACTACTTTCCGACTGGGGGGCACACCATAATAGAGATCAACCTAGGGTACCCCCAAATCTAGTTTTCTCACCGGTTTTAGGCCACTTATTTTTCACCCCTCGGCTTTTTCAACAAAAAAGAAAACATTTGAAAAAAGTGTGGTATTCCATCTCAAAGCTGTGGGGGCACCGCCCCCACGGCCCCAGAGTTGGGGGGGGGGGGGGGCAAGCTGCCCCCACTGCCCCCCCCCCCCCCCCGGCTCCCGCGCCTATGCACCTGATGGTGAGGCCTGGGACGGCTTAGAACATTTTTGCATGGAGCAAGACGAGTTTTCACCTCGTCGCCACTGTTAAATACTGAGAGGTCCAAGCGGCACTGTATTGTCGTCACGACACCCGCCCGTGTGGGGCACCAGGCACAGACTGACACACCCAGCCGCGCGGCCGCCGGCCGCCGGCCGCCAGGTCACGCCATCCGCGCCTCAGGCTATCTAGCCCAGCTGGCCGGCACGGCGCAGCCAATCCCAGCCACCACACACTTCTTAGAGTCCACTTCTTAGAGGCTCTTAGAGCTCTTTCATTCAAATGCTTCACAAATTATTGACGAATCCAAGCCATTTTTTATTGGTTTCCGCATTTCTTCCTCAGTGCTCAATGCTATACCTAGACATTTCTTGCTCTAACGGTATTTCGACTTCATCTAACGAGCCCCTCCACAATAGGACAAGTCCATCCTCAGTCTGTTGCTATGGATCATGGCCCTCCACCGCCGTTTCCCCAAACTATGATGACTTGTCGTTCGTCGTGCTCTGGCGGACTTCGCACTGCCCCCTCCCCTCCCCTGCCGTCGGCGGGAGCCCGCGGTGCGTCCTTGGCGTGTAGTCGCTGTGGCTGTGACGTGGTTGGTCGGCGCTCGGGCTGGTCGGGCCGCTCGGACTGCCGCACTCGGCGGTCGGTTGCGGTGTGGCGTGGTAGCGCTCCGGTGAGGACAGTGAGACAGTGAGGACTGAGTGTGAGGACAGGAGGAACTGCCGAGGACGATATGGCGGCGGAGAGGACGTACGACATACCTGCGGTGAGCGATGAGGATGGCCGATGGGGTCTCATCACTCGTGGTGTTCTCACTTTCTGTGTCTGCGTCCATTCGGCGTTGCACTGCTGGCTCGGGAGAGTCGTTAGGCAAAATTTATCTTGTGAGCAGTCACCCTACAGGCCGGCGTATGATTGTATCGCAGACTCCGACTCCTGCATGACTCCTTCCATCGCATGCTGATTGAATTGAAACCTGCTGCTAATTAAACGTAGACTTTGAATTGTATTTGTAGCTTCCGGTATCGCTTTTGGTGCTCTTTTTTGTTGTTGACGGATGTAGATTTATTTGATGTGCTGTGCCACTATCCTTTGGGATACGTTCTTTGGTTTCCCACTGTTCAAAAGTAATAAATAGCGCATTCGAAAATTCAAATTACTGATCCATAGGCGTAGGAACAGGGGGGGGGGGCAGGTGGGCAAGTGCCCACCCACTTTTCGAGGTGGGGGGGGGGGGGCAACCATGTGTTTTGGCCCACCCACTTTTTACTCGAGGCCCCTCGTCTCGATTTGAGAGGATGTCGTCACCTTCCAGAATAAACAAACTCGGTAAAAAATAAGTTCCACGAATCCCCACGCACGGACTCCAACGGGCCGTGATGGATCCAAGGAGGCCCTCTGTTCATACTTGTCAGTCGAAGCCCCTGAGACTGATGGCCTGAGAGGCCCTAGTGGATCTGGGGAGGCCCCAATATCCACACTGGTCTGGGGAGGCCCTGACACTGGCGGTCTGGGAGGCCCCTCTATCCACACTAGTCAGAGGTCTGAGACTGGTGGTCTGGGAGGCCCCTCCATCCACACTAGTCAGAACAGGCCCCTGACACTGGCGGTCTAGCCGAGGCCCCCTACCCTCACTAGTCAGAGGAGGCCCCTCTATTCTCAATAGTCAGAAGAGGCCCCTGAGACTGATGGTCTGGGAGACCTATCCATCTACACTGTAGTCAGAGGAGACCCCTGAGACTGATGACCTGAGAGGCCCTTATAATCACAACAGGCAGAAGAGGCCCATGAGACTGATGGCCTGAGAGGCCCTTCTATTCATACTGGCCACAGGAGACCCCCAAAACTTTCGGTCTGGGAGGTCCCTCAATCCGGGACCAGTCAGAAGAGTCTCCTGAGACTGATGGCCTGGGAAGCCCTTATATTCACACTAGGCAGAGGAGGCCCCTGAGACTGATAGTCAGAGAGGTCCACTCCTAATGAATCTGAGAGGGCCCTCTATCCACATTCACACTTTTCTAGGGAGGCCCCCGAGACTGATGGTCTGAGAGGACCTTTTATTTATACTGTCCACAGGACCAGGAGCTCCCTGAGATTAATGGTCTGAGAGGCTCTTCTATTTATACGAACCAGAGGAGGCCCCTAGGATTGATGGTCTAACAGGCCCTTCTATTTATACTAGCCAGAGGAGGCCCATGAGACTGATGGTCTGAGAGGCCCTTCTATTCAAACTAGGCAGATGAGGCCCATGAGAATGATAGTCCGAAGAGCCATGCGGCGGCAACTGGCCGTGGCCATATTTCGGCTCGGTAGGGCCCCACAGAGCTCATGAGAGCACCTCAAGGGCTCTTAAGTAGACACGCTTATCCCCATAATGGGTATGTTCTGCTTATGAAGCTTAGGAACGATTAGCCAGACTACAATGAAACTTTGAATGTAGCTTATATGTATCGTCACCCTTGCAGCTGCAACTTTAGCTATTGACATCTTCTTTTCGATCACTCCGCATTAAACAATCGCCAGTCAAAGCCAACCGTTGGGATTGGTAAAACTCTACATTACTTTAGCGGTGGGCTGTATATCTGAAGGACCCACACCGGCACCTCTGAGGGCCCCACACCAGTATCTCGGAGCTCTGAAGGCCCCACACCGGTGACTCTGAGGACTCACCGGCTCCTGAGATCACCATGTTGATGTCTAACGGCTCCACAAGGCCACTGAAGGCACCACACAAGCTCTCACTGAGCTCTAATGTCCATGTACCGGCCTGTCCAGTTGTCCAGTTGGAGGCCCCTGAAAATAGGAGGCCCCCTGGAAAAGGAGGCCCCTTGACAGGGTGGCCCACCCACTTTTCATGACGTTCCTACGCCCGTGTACTGATCGATATTGTATTGAGTACCACGGCCGATACGTCCAAGGCGTTCGACAGCGTTCGGCATCCCCGGCTCCTGGAGAAGCTCGGCTGGTACGGGATTGATACCCACTGGTTTGTGAACTGGCTCGGCGGGCGCAGACAGGCTGTGAGAGGTGGTGCAGGTGACACGCTGCCCATTACGCATGGCGTGGTGCAGGGGTCCCTGATCGGCCCAGTGTTATTTTTAATTTTTACAAACGATTTAGTGTCCTACATAGACACAGAGGAGTCCAAAATAGTCATGTACGCCGATGATGTCCAGTTTTTGCACCGGAGTAGACCCGACGATCTGTCTCAACTGAAAGCGAGTGTTGAGCGCACCGTAGCCACCGCGCACAGTTGGTTTAACGAAAACAGTCTAAAAATTAACCCCACTAAAACGGATCTTATTCTTATCAAGTCAAACAGGAGGTTGTTAACCTCTGAATTTTCTGTTCAACTTGGCGATGCTTCAATCAGACCGTCTTCAACGGTGAAAGTGCTGGGGATGGATGTAGACGCAGGGCTGACTTTTGAGAAGCATGTGTCTGGCACAGTCAGACGCTGCTATGCCACACTCGGAGGCCTATCAAAAATGGCTGGCAAATTGCCGGAATCTGTAAAGAAAATGATTGTAGAAATGCTCATCTTTCCACATCTCGCCTACTGCTCTACTGTATGGGCTGGTTGCAACGCCACCCAGCGCCATCGGCTACAGAAAGTGGTAAACCACTGTGCGCAGGTGGTGAAGGGGGCGAGGAGACGCGACCATGTCACGCCGTTGTTAGCGAAACTGGAGTGGCCGTCACTCGACAACCTTGTGGCCGAGCGCGACGCATCGCAAATGCACTACTTGCTCAATAACGACCAAGCGCCAACCGGCCTCACGGCCCAAATCGCACACCGCAGTGACGTCTCCACCAGGGACACGAGGGGCTCTCTAGCCGGCTCGCTGCAGATCCCTCGAGTGCGCAGTGAACACGCACGGAAGTCGTTCTTTTGTCGTGCTGTCTCACTCTGGAACCGCGCTCCTGCGGAAGTGAGAGAGTCCCGCTCTGCCAGAGTCTGTCGGAGAAGGGCGAGAAAGTGGCTGACGACCTCCACCTAAATAGGACACTGATACTTTTTTAAATGGTGTTGATAACTTTTAGGCGTGTTTCATGTGTATTTTAATATTTTTAGTGTAGGGTGCAATCTTACTTTTATGCTGCATATTTTACTTTTAATAGGTACCTGATTTTATGTAAACCTGACACTTGTTCCGAAAAGCCATCGAATGTGGACGAACATAAGAATACATGATGATGATGATGAGTGTTGAATTAATTGGCACTACTGTTGAATAACGGAGTATTCTGCGAGCGTTTTGTTCGCTTATTGCGGCCCTAGGACGCGCCTACTGCAATGATCACTTGCACCGCTGGATTGGACGTTCAGACACTTTTCTGGCCCACCTGGATACTGGATGTTGAAATTTCTTCGTCGAATCACAACTTTGCTGATAACCAACTTTTGGCGACACTTCGAGAACGTCCTTTGCTAGTTTGACAACATTCTGCACCGCATGTCGCGACGGTTTTTCCCCGGCATCCGGCTAACGCGCTGGCGCTATCGTTCCTCCCATGATACACATCCGTTCGACAACGGGAATTACTTCCTGGATGGTATCTGCTCCGGGCCGGACCTGTCCCGCCATGCTGCGCAGTTACGACGGTTAACAGCAGTCAATACTAACCGTCTGTTGTCCCAATTAAGGCGGCACATACCACTGCTTTTTTCGACAGTTGATGTCCCACCAAACCGGCCGAACTGCCACGCGTGCTGTGGCCAGGGCGCTGACCTGTGCTGAGCTCTCAGTTGGGAAGGATTACACCCGGCCTGAGCCCGGCTCAGTGGCTCTTTAAATGCAAAGGCCCGCTGACCGGTGTTTGAGGCTACTGAGCCTCCTTACTAATGCGATTTGACGTGTGTGACACCGTCCCGTATGCCACCACTGTTGGGGTGAAGTGTGTGTGAACCAGTTTTGGAAGGCGTGCTAACAAAGTACGAACGTCTTGGCGTCGTGGGATGCTCGATCGGCGCAATTATTACAGGGCTTCCTGAGCGCTCTCCGTATGTGCTGTAGTGAATAAGTCTTAGAATCCACTGCAATCATTTTTAATTTGATGGCGGTCATCGATTCACAGATTAAAGCTAGTCGATTCTAGCAACGTAATTAGACAGGACATGCGTTATCTAGAATGGAGTACATTCTCTCTCTTCAAAATTCGTCCAACCCGCACCTGGAATTGACATCAGCTGTGCTTTATCATGACGATCTTTTATGTCTCTTGTGAAACGTTCCCGAAGCCTTGGTGTGCACTGTGGTCTTATTCAGCTGTCTAGGCTCCAGTATTTCGTCTCACCTGAGCATGATACCGGCCAGTTACATCCATGTGTAGGTATCTCTCGGGTCGACGTCGCGCGCTCTTTGCAGCAGATCGCCGGTCTCCCGTCCCAGCCTCGGCACTTGAGGCCAAATGGCCTTCCATGCCACTACCCACTATACTCGTACTCCGGCGGACGCCTCCTCCCCGCCCATCCGCCCTGGGTTGGGCGGGGGCGGGGGCGGGTAGGTACCGCCGCCGGGCCGGACCGTAGTATGGGCGGCTGGTGCGGCCCGGGTCGGAGCTGGGGATGGGTGCGAACGGCGGTGGGAGCCTCTCCGCCGCTCTCCTCAGCTCACCTTTACCCCTCACCCGGGCTTGCGCCGCCCCACTCGACCCTCCCCGCCCCGCGCTGGGCAGTCCCAGCCCGCAGCGGTCCGTCCGTGGCCCGTGCTCCTCCAGCCGTGCGAACGACTCCCGCCTTACCTGTCTGGCAATAACCTGTTG